CTCAGGAGTAGCTGTATTAGAGGAAGCTGTTACTTCTAACAGCCCCCCTAGTACGGGTGGGGATCAAAATGTAAGGAAGGCAAGACAGGTTGTGGTGGTAGGGGACTCTATCATTAGGAAAGCAGATAGGGCAATCTGCCGCTCTGATCGGCTCAACCGGACAGTTTGCTGTCTCCCGGGTGCTCGGGTCCGGCATGTTGCTGACAGAGTGGATGGATTATTGGGAGGGGCTGGGGATGACCCAGCGGTCATGGTCCATGTTGGTACCAATGACAAAGTAAGAGGAAGATGGAAGGTCCTAAAGAATGATTTCAGGGAATTAGGTAGCAAACTTAAGAAAAGGACCTCCAAGGTGGTATTCTCTGAGATATTACCTGTGCCACGCGCTACAGTGGAAAGGCAGCGGGAGATTAGAGAGGTCAATGCGTGGCTTAAGTCTTGGTGCAGGAAGGAGGGTTTTGGGTTTTTAGAGCACTGGGCCGACTTTGCGATTGGGTACAACCTTTATAGTGGTGATGGATTGCACCTAAGCGGGAGAGGGTCTGCAGTGCTGGGGGATAGGATGGCTAGAAGGTTTGAGGAGATTTTAAACTAGTAGTAGGGGGGGAGGGTCATAGCAATCTACAAAATGGAGATAGGACAGAAAGGAGATGGGCTTTAGCACAGTATAAGGGGGGTGGAAACGGGGGGAGGGGCAAGCTCAGAACAGAGAAGCTGTGTAATGTTGAAAATTCACAAAATATACAAGTGGCGCATAATATTAAATGTATGCTTACTAATGCAAGGAGCCTAAATAACAAAATGGGGGAACTAGAGGCATTAGCATACACTAAACAATATGATATAATAGGCATAACTGAAACATGGTGGGATGAGACACATGACTGGGCAGCTAACTTAAATGGGTACATGTTATTTAGGAAGGATAGGAAAAACAAGAAGGGTGGTGGGGTATGTTTGTATGTCAAACATGATTTAAAGCCAAATGTTAAGCAAATGGAATGCGAGGAGGATAATGTGGAAGCTTTATGGGTAAATATCTGCTTGGGGGAAAAGAAGGGAAACCAACTATTGGTTGGGATATGTTATAAACCACCTAATGTTAATATTGACGAGGAACAACAGCTGTTTGAGCAAATTGAGAAAGCTGCAAATCTGGGTAACACTTTAATTATTGGAGATTTTAATTACCCGGATATAAATTGGGACAGAGGGACTAGTGCCTCAGCAAAGGGAATTAGGTTTTTAAACTTGTTAAATGACACCTTCATGTCACAACTTGTACAAGCACCAACTAGAATGGATGCTTGTCTGGACCTGGTTTTAACAAACAACGTTGATCTTTTGACCAACATTCAAGTAGGTGAGCACTTGGGAAATAGTGATCACAATATAGTGTCCTTTGAAATAAACTCAAAAAAACAAAAGCACATGGGGAATACTAAAACATATAATTTTAAAAAGGCCAATTTCAATAAGTTAAGGGAAGCTTTACAATATATTGACTGGCATAAACTCTTTAGTGAAAAGAACACTGAGGATAAATGGATCATCTTCCAACAAATATTACAAAGGTACATTTCTCAGTATGTACCATTGGGAAATAAATATAAAAGAAACAAATTAAAACCAACATGGCTTAGTAGAGAAGTAAAACAAGAGATTACAACTAAGAGAAGGGCATTTAAAGCATTTAAATCGGACAAATCAGATGCATCTTATAAAAGATATAAGGATGCAAATAATGCGTGCAAAAAGGCAATTAGACTTGCTAAACTTCAAAATGAAATAATGATAGCTGAAGAGAGCAAAACCAACCCCAAAGCATTTTTTTTTTTTTCCTTTGCATCTCTGTGTTTTTTTTTTTTTATTCTTTATTTTTGCAGTGCAATATATAATAAGTCATAACAGCAGGTGTGTGGTGCCCCAATAGCATTCCTCACGCTGAATATCAACATTTTAACAATGGGGTTTTCATAAATCCTTGCACATTTTTTTGTTATTTAGTCGAGATTGTCCACGCTTAAGCTTTACGCTGAGTATTCAGTTAACAAGTGGGCCTGGGTAGGTCTTACGAAATCTTGGCCGCACAGTGCGTTAAGATAGTTACACTAGTTATTAGATGCAAGATATAATGAGAGTTACGGTTATACATTTTAGCGTTAAAGTTAACATGGATTCTTGCAGTGCCACAACAGCGACTGTAGGCATATTTTGAACATCAGGTTGCTTTGGCATGCGGTTAAAACAGCACGAATTTTGTTATTTTTCATGTAAAATTAACCCGCTATATAAAACAAGTATGTTAGTGCATAGATTACTTTGCTAGACAAAGAGTTACAGGCCTTCCTTCAACAAGAACAATTGCAAACTGTTCATCTGAACTAAAAGCTGTCTCATCAATCAGGTTATAGGGCAATTATAGCTTAATCGCTTCCAGTTACAGGCTCTGTGCACTACTACAGAAACTAACGTAGTGCAGGTTACAAATGGTAAGTTATACGCAGGCTTAGTTATTACATCTAATGCAATGGGTCACGATGGGATCTACATGTTTATGCTAGTAGATGCAAATTGTAGCTTAAGTAAATGTGGGCTTTCAAGAAAATTACACGATTAGACTTCGATTTTACCACTGCCAGAGTAGGTAGGCGGGCGGGCGGCCACCGGGGCTGAGTGTATTCCTCTATTATTGGGTATTACTAATAGACATAGTAGTATAATTGCGTGGCTATGGTATATGTTAGAACACCTTTCAGGTGACAAGAGGTATATAGGTAGCTGCTGTCTCTTAGGTAGCTGATGTAAAACTACAGCTTCTGTTATTTAGTCAGTGTCCTGTGGTGGTGTTAGAGTCTCTGAGCTGGCATGTGTGACTCCTTCCCTTCGGACACTGATCCCTCACCACGGCAGTTCAGCTTCACCGGTTCTTTTCTGTGTGTGGTAAGTCTCCCCATATCAGGCTCGTGTAGGCCCGTTTGGCCGTTACCCGCTGCAGCACACTTTCATTTCGCGCCTTCTGCGCTTGGCCCCACCTGGGGGTATCCATTGCGGGCCCGGGGTCTCTCATTCTCCTATATCGCGGTGATCATGTCTGCGGTGTTCTTTTACTTGAAGCCATCCGGCAGGGCAGATGAAGGAACCGTGGTTCAAAAGGGGCTCCGTGGTGCAGGAGCAGATAATGTTCAGCTGTCTGCCGCCGCCATTTTGTGAGGCAGTTAGAGATTCTCCTCTCAGCCCCCGCCCGTCTCGGGCTCTCCCCAGTGGGGACCGGGATGACCCCCCCGGTCCAAAGGGGGGGGGAACAGGGCCGGCAAGCAACTCAGGCAGTCAGCCTGTGGCAGCAGGGGAGGGAGACGTAGCGGCGGCCATCCACCACGCTCCCCTCCCGGGTAGGCCGCAGCCCTCGAAGCTCCGTGCCCCCTTCAGAGGATCAGAACTCCCGATCTCGGGGTCCGCCGCCGCTACCACAGCTATGGGTGTCTTTTGGCCCGTTTTGTGTGTGTGAAGATCCACTGTGAATAGCTTAAAAGACCGGGTTTCCCCAGAGCCTCTCCTGCATGCGACCGGTCAGCATGGCGGTCCGGCCCCGCCCCGTCCCAAAGCATTTTTTAAGTACATAAATTCAAAAAAAATACAAAATGAAAGTGTAGGTACACTAAAAACTGAAACGGGGGTGTTAGTTAATGAAGACCAGTAAAAGGCAGGAATTTTAAATAACTATTTCTCCTCCGTATATATTAAGGAAGAACCCATGGCAATAGATGTGCAAATGATTGCTACTAAAAACTTGCAGAATAATTGTAATTGGTTAACTCAAGACAAGGTGCTGCAGCAACTAAAGAAAGTTAATATAAACAAAGCTCCAGGGCCTGGCGGTATCCATCCACGTGTACTTAAGGAACTAAGTGTAGAAATAAGTGAACCTCTGTTTTTAATCTTTCAAGATTCTTTTCTTTCAGGAAGTGTTCCGGAGGATTGGAGGAAGGCAGATGTGGTTCCTATATTCAAAAAGGGTTCAAAATCCTTGCCTGGAAATTATAGACCTGTGAGCTTAACTTCTGTGGCTGGTAAAATATTTGAAAGGTTATTAAGGGATAATATTCAAGAATTCCTTGAGAAGAACATGGTTATCAGCAAAAATCAGCATGGTTTTATGAAGCACAGGTCATGTCAAACTAACTTGATTGCGTTCTACGAAGAAGTAAGTAGAAGTATAGATCAGGGTGTTGCCGTGGATGTGATCTATTTGGATTTTGCCAAGGCATTTGATACAGTTCCACACAATAGATTAGTGTTCAAACTCAAGGAAATCGGTCTAGATGAAAATGCTTGTTCTTGGGTAGAACATTGGCTTAAAAACAGAGTACAAAGAGTTGTCATTAATGGTAAATTTTCAAGCTGGACAGAGGTGGCAAGTGGTGTCCCTCAGGGGTCTGTTCTGGGACCCCTTCTATTTAACATGTTTATAAATGATCTTGAAGACCGCATTGAAAGTCATGTTTCAGTGTTTGCATATGACACCAAACTTTGTAAAACAATACAATGTGAGCAAGATATTACTTTGCTGCAGAGGGATTTAGATAGACTGGGGACTGGGCACTCAAATGGCAGATGAAATTTAATGTTGAAAAATGCAAAGTTATGCACTTCGGCGTAAAGAATACACAAGCAACGTATACCCTTAATGGAACCGAATTAGGGATAACAACACATGAAAAGGACTTGGGAATTGTTATAGACAACAAACTATGCAACAATGTGCAATGTCAATCAGCAGTGGCTAAGGTTTTTTATATATAAAAGTTTTGTTTTGGGGGGCGGAGCCTGACAGTGAACCGAGATGGCCGCTTAATTTTGTTCTCCTCCATCACCTCATGTGTAAATTAGCGAAAAATACTGCAAGCTGCCCTGATCATGGGGAAAACTCACAGAGCATCAGGCTCACAGAGGGCCACGGTACGCCAATATCTACTCCGTTGGAACTGGTCTCCGAGCCTATGTCAGAGGAGGCCTCTGACGGCACCCGAGCTAATTCCCCAACCTTCCCACCTGAGGAACGCTCCCCTACTTCAGAGGACAGGGACTGGGGATGGCTGCTACAAGCACTACCTACCCGTGCTGACCTGGCAGCCGCCAACAGCACCTTCCAGGCCTCGATCTGGGCAGACATCCAGGTGCTGCGGGGCGACATCCAAGGCCTCAATTACCGTGTGGGGCGCATTGAGGCTACCTGCGACCAGCCCAGAACAGCCCACGCTCAAGGTGGCAACTACTTAGTTCAACATGCTGAATACTAAAGGGGCCTGTGGCTACACGTGGAAGATTTAGACAAACAGCTTGCGGCTGTGAGGCCTCAATGAGGTTGAAATCGATCCGGCTCACCTACAATCCATCCTTCAGGAGATCTTCAATAATCTACTCCGAAGGGACATGTCCTCGCCCATTGCTTTCATCCGGGCCGTCCCTCTGCCCCAGGGGACCCCCTGATGCTCTGCCACGGGATGTGGTGTGCTGCTTGGAAGCATTCCAAGCAAAATAATTTATCTTGTGGGCCACAAGGGAATTCCTAGACACTCCGGTATCGGCAGGCCAAGCTACAGCTTTACCCGGATTTGTCCCCAACCATGCTGCGCTACAGGAAGATCCTAAGGCCTTTGATCCGCACCCTACAGTCCAAGGACATCAGGTACAGATGGCTGTTCCCGACAGGCCTGTCAGTGAACACTCCGGGGGCTATGGTGGTGGTTCACACGCACGCGGTCTACCTGCCCTTGTGATCTCGCTACCCCATTAAACCTGAGATGGCCAGACCCAATTGAATTTTAACTACCTGACCCGACGAGGCCGATAACCTTACCCCAGAGAGACAGGAGGCTCTGCACCATGTCTACCCGAGCTGCTTGACCTGCACCTTGAGCGGGATCCGTAAGAATTTGCCATACAGCTCTACCTGCCAGCAGATTAGTTCCTGCTGACCTGCTCCTGTATACAACCGGGTGGTGCTGAAGTCCTCATCTGATTTTACTTTCATCCTAATCCCCTCTTCTCATATCCCCCCCTCTCCCCAGGGTATGTCTACACATTTTGGTAATGGCTCTCCATCATGTGGGCAATAGGGCCCTGCTGGGCACCAAGTGGTGCTAAAGCCAGGTAAGGCCGGGCATGTCCTCTGTTCATACACTGAGATGGGGGGCGTCTGGCGGTGCCCAGTGGTTTAGTACAAAATGGACTATAGAGCCAACATATGTCTAAGGCTCAGGACGTGTAACTGGATTAGTGGGTAAAAGGCAAATCAAATGGTACCAAGATTGGAAGGTATTCCATACTCGGTGAGTGGAGTGTTAGTACAGTGCGGGGGGAGAAATAAAATAAAAATGTTTTACTGCAAAATTCTATAACAATAAGAGTACGAAGAGTATCCCCCTATGGAAATAGGCCATAGCAAAAAGAAACAATGACCCAGTGGCTGACTCATCACCATCCGTTATACATGACTTTCTTTTTGGCTACCAGCCGAACTGCTTTCCCCTCACTACCCCACTTCCGTTACAGGTTGTAGGAATCTTCTGTTTATTCACTTTAGAGTTTATGTTGTATAGGATTTTTATACAGGTTCGCTTGCTACTCTATATCGAGGTGGAAAATGTGGAGAAATACAAATCCAAATCGATTTCTCTTTAATTTTCTGGTCCGTTGTTGACCCCATTCCCCCCCTGTTTTGGGGCTTTAGTGACAGATTTTGAGCGGGTGTGTTTCCTCCCAACCAGCTGGTCTGGGCCAGAGGCCTGACCTGCTCAGTCACCCTTGCCAGCATACCCATTACAGCCAGACTTCAGATGTGTATTTCCCTCCTTCCCGCTGTATCACCTGGACAGCTGTTTACTTAATTTGCCTGTTTTAATATTTCACTTAGCCTTGTGACAATTTGGTTATCACTTAATTGCTGCTTTTACACGGCGCAAGCTAGTCTGTGATTGGGAGGTGACCGGTGACTCGAGACCCTTTAGGGGAACAGGACACTTTCCCTGAGAGATTTTACGAAACAAAACGCACACATAGTCTTTGCCCAGGAAACTCATTTCAGGGAGGATACTGCGCCGAAACTGACTAATCACATTTACACTGAAGGCTTTTATGGGAATAATCTCGAGCGTAAATCCAAAGGGATTGCAATACTCATTCATAAGTCAATCACTTTCCAACACAGGGACACGCTTGTCGGTAAGGATGGTTGTTATGTATTCATGAAAGGGTCTTTTCTGGGGAGACATACACGCTGGCCAACATCTATGCACCGAATTCCAGACAAGGAAAGTTCTTACAGCGTACAATTAAACAATTAATGACATTTGCAGAGGGCTTCTTGATACTTGGGGGAGACTTTAATATTGCCCTGGATCCTCGGGTTGACACTTCCGCGGGCATGTCCGCACAGGTCCTACTGATGAACAAGCAAGTCAAACTCAAAGTCTAGCACGGGCCAAATAAACAAGTTTTAAGTTTATGTGGGCCGCAAAAAAAACAAATCTTCAATTTTCATAGAAACGTAGGTTTATTTTGCAAAGTACAGTATAAAAAAAAAACAGCATCCCCCTCTACTAAACCACAGCACCCTCCTCTACTACATCTCAGTCCCCCTCTAATAAATCCCAGTCCCCCCCCCTCTAGCCAACAAGCAAACTCACATTGCCGCTGCCAGTATGCGACTCCGGAGTCCGGCCTCTGATATACCCCAAATGGCGCCATCCGCACCCTATACCAAAGCAGATCTTCCCACTACTTCTTGAAACCCTGTGAAGGTGGAGCAAGTTGACGTCACGCTGGAATGTGACGTGGCGTTGCGTGCCCTTGTACACCTCCAGGTCCTCCACTGTCCAGCCGCAGCCATCGCAACACTGACCGACACACACACATTCATTGACACACACACACTGACAGACACACTCACTCACTCAGTGACACACACACACAAACACAGACACACACATACTCACTGATAGACAGACACACACTCACTGACAGACACATAGACACACACTCACTCACTGACAGACACACTCACTCACTGACAGACACACACATACACATTGATAGACACACACACACTGACATACACACACTCAATGACAGACACACACACAAACACACATTTACACATTCTTGCACACACTCACATCATTGTATTTATCCCTGAGGTCCAGTGGGGATCTTCTGTCTGGAGATCTCCTTCCTGCTGCTCACTGCTCTCTCGTTCGCAGTTTAGTGATGCTGGCATCACTACAGAGGGTGCACGTGAGGGAGCAGTGAGGAGCAGGAAGATTGGGCTCCTCCAGTGACCTCTCCGAGTCCCGACCTGGAACATTTTCGCATAGTAGGCACCTGCAATGTGGAGAAAGCAGGTGTCTACTCTGCTTTAACACTAAGCAAGTACTCGCGGCTCGTCGGGTAGCAAAGACGTCCATTTTGGGCCTCATGCAGCCCAGGCCCACGAGTTTCACATGCTTGATAAAGAACCTTCTACATGCTAACCGTCTAGCAGACTGGTAGCATACTCTGCACCCAGATGGTAGGGACTACTCTCATTAATCTATATCCCACGCTAGATACTCATGCACTTTTTTGTCCTGCAATACTATCTATCTCATGTACATAGAGCTGACATAGGTGTGATGACTTGGATGGACCATGCCCTGGTATTGCTGACCGTATCCTCCCCTCTATCCAGTCCACTCATTGGCGACTAAATGAAACACTACTTTCTGACCCACTCCTCCTCCAAGATGCGACCACCGCCCTGACACAATACTTTAGCAAAAATGTGACGTCTGACGTTCCAGCCCCAGTGGTATGGGAGGCCCATAAGTGCACCATTAGGGGATTCTTCATAGCTAGGGGCACTGCCTTGAAAAAACTCAGGGAAGCGGAAATTCAAGAGCTCACGGATCAAATCCAAGAACTGGAAACGGCACATCAGGCGGACCAAAATTTGACCACCTTCCAGGAATTGGCCGACATAAGGCGCAAACTGGCTACGCACCTCCACCACCGCCTGCAACGATCCCTGCTCCATACCAAAGCCTATTTCTACGTTAATAGCGATAAATGTGGCAAACTGCTTGCCCGCATTCTCAACAAAAAGAGAAATAAGTCATACATAGCCTGTCTACGGCATAACTACCTGACAGAATAGCCGACGTGGCACGTGGATACTTTTCTACACTGTATTAAAAAACACCTATACCGGACTCCCCATAGCATGCGCCGGGGTTGGAGCCTAGTCACGCGTTTCTCAAGGACAATGTCCACTCGACACTACCAACAGAGGCAGTTGAAGCACTGGAGGCTCCCTTGATGATGGAAGAACTGGCGGCAGTGGTCAAAGCCACGAAACCGGGACGGGCTCACAGTCCGTTACTATAAGCAATTTGTGGGCATACTGTTCCCACATTTCCTGGAAGCGTACAACTCGCTCACCCAGGGTCAGAGGATCCACTCCCAGACAATGACGGCTAACATCACGTTGATACCCAAGGAGGGCAGGGACTTGGAGCAGTGCGCTAATTACTGGCCAATCTCCCTTCTGAATTGCGACTTAAAGTTCTTCGCTAAAATCTTGGCTACAAGGCTGCTACCTTACATACCTATGCTGGTAAAACTGGACTAAGTGGGCTTTGTCCCTCACTGAGAAGCTAAAGATAATACCACAAGAGTACTGGCACTGATTCATCAATCCCAGATGACTGGGGAGGACCTTCTACTGCTTTCCATAGATGCAGAGAAGGCCTTTCGACAGAATGAGCTGGGACTTCCTCTTTCGCACTCTTCGGGCACTGGGAATAGATTCCAAGATGTACACCTGGATCACAACGTAGTACAATAACCCCATGGCACGGGTCTGTATCAACGGGGCTTTCACCGACCCGTTCAAGATCCACAATGGCACCAGACAGGGTTGTCCGCTGTCGTCCTTTGTCCTTGCCCTCAAGTCTTTCCTCCAGGCTGTGAGACGCAACCCTGACATCGCATAAGGTGGGTGCATACGCGGATGACCTGATATTTTAAGTTTCCCTGCCAATATAATGCAGGAGTTTGATCGCTATGGCAAGATTTCCCATTTCAAGATCAATTACTCTAAATCTACTGTACTGAATTTCACGGTGCCGACCAGAAGGGCCTCAGCGCTATGCCCATGCTTTTAATTCTACTGGGTGGATGAGGCGATCAAATACCTTGGAATCCGGTTCACTGCCGATCTCTCTCAGTTGTATAAAGCTAACTTCACACCCATGCTGAAGATCTTTAAGAAGAACCTGGAAGAGTGGGCGCTGCCACACCTATCCTGGCTGGGGCGCACCGCAGTGACAAAAATGAACTTGCAACCGTGCATCCTATATCTATTTCAAACGCCGCCCATTCCTATTCCAACAGCTTTCCTCACATCTCTGAGGTCAATGATAATCAGATACATCTGGGGCTCGCACAAGCCGAGGTTGGCATACCAACTACTGATGAGACCAAAGACTGAAGGGGTGGTAACAGACTTTCATTCATGCTACCGGCCTCCCACCTACAGAGAGTGTTGAAGTGGGTCAAGGATGGAGTATCCAAAATGTGGAAAGAGATTTAGCAATTCCAGACGGGAGGTTCTCTGAAGGCGCTCACGTGGATGCATCCGGCAGCGAGCAGGAAACTTTCACACCATCAACCTTTCGTATGGACCATCCGATAGGACCGCAACAAGAATGGAGCTCTCATCCTTCCCCTCCTCCCTCTACCCTCTGACACATAACCCAGAGTTTGCCCCTGGAACAGAGGACAAAGCGTTAATGTCAGGATCGTGACAGGGATCCAATACGCAGAGTGCGGACAGGAGGAGGTACGTATACCGGACCTTAGAATGGCCGGACTAACGTATAGACAAGACAAGAATGGTCAAAAGGTAAGCCGAGGTCGAGGGAGCCGGAGGACAGGTAAGCGAGGAACAAGCTGGGTCAAAGGAGAGGAGAGAGCAGCAGGACAAAGGTACAAGCAAGGTCAAAACCGAAAAACACAAAGAGAGAGAACGCGCTGAGTGACTAGCAAGCTAGAACCATGACAGGGCAATGAGCAGTAGTAAAAGCTTCCCTTAAATACCCTGTCACCTTAATTATGACCACGCCCCCAAAAGGTCCGGAATTGCGGTTCCCGGCGGTTCACGTGATGATGACGTCATGACGTCGACGATTAGCCGTCGCGTCATAAAAGGGGGAGGAGCTAGCGCGGCCGGCGCGAAAACGGCCGAAAAATGCCGAAATGCTTGGGCATAGGAGCCCTTTTGGAAGAGAGACTGACCTCCTCAGAGGTTGAATTTACAGGTAACCTGACAGTACCCCCCCTTTTAGAAACGCCCACCGGGCGGATGGGAGCGGGCTTAGAAGGAAATCGAACGTGGAAGGCTCGAAGAAGACGAGGAGCATGCACGTCTTCACAAGGAACCCAAGATCTCTCTTCAGGGCCATAACCCTTCCAGTCTATGAGGTATTGTAACTTCCCCCTGGAAATACGAGAATCAAGAATGGACCAGACAATATATTCTTCTTGACCATCAACTTGAACCGAAGAAGGAGGAGCAGGGTGTGAAGAAAACCTGTTACAAACAAGAGGTTTCAATAAAGACACATGAAAAGAGTTAGGGATACGTAGAGTAGGAGGCAGGTCCAGCAGATAAGAAACCGGGTTGATCCTCCTCAATACCATGTAAGGACCTATGTAACGAGGAGCAAACTTCATGGAAGGAACTTTCAAGCGAATGTGTCTGGTACTTAATCAGACCCTATCACCCGGAGAAAAGATAGGAGCGGGCCGTCTACGCCTATCAGCTTAGACACCGTGGAACTACGAGTAAGAATTTGTCGAGTTTGATCCCACAACTTTTTCAGGTTGGCTATATGGACATCAACCGACGGTAAACCATGAGAAGGTGATACTGACGGAAGAATAGTAGGGTTAAAGCCATAATTCAAGAAAAAGGGGCTATTACGAGTGGAACCACAAACAAGGTTGTTGTGAGCAAACTCGGCCCAAGGAATCAGACCGACCCAATCGTCCTGGTGTTCAGAAACAAAACAACGTAGATATTGCTCAATTTTCTGGTTAGTGCGTTCGGCTGCCCCGTTAGATTGAGGATGATAGGCAGAAGAAAAATTCAGCTTGATGCCCAACTGGGAACAGAAGGATCTCCAAAAACGGGAAATGAACTGGGACCCCCTGTCAGACACAATCTCATTGGGAATACCATGTAAGCGAAAAATCTCCTTAGCAAATATCACGGCCAATTCGGGTGAGGAAGGAAGTTTAGGCAAGGGGATGAAATGAGCCATTTTGGTAAACCTGTCAACAACCGTGAGAATAACTGTGTGTTTATTGGAAACCGGCAAATCAACAATAAAATCCATAGCCAGACTAGCCCAAGGTTTGTTGGGAATGACTAAGGGTTGCAAAAGACCACAAGGAAGGGCCTGTGGTAGTTTATTCCTAACACAGATATCGCAGACCTTGACAAAGTCTTCCACATCCCTCCGTAAACTAGGCCACCAGAAGTCTTTGGAAATCAGACAGCAAGTTTTGTGGATGCCGGGGTGACCGGCAAACTTGCTATTGTGAAAGCATCGAATTATGTCCATTTGGAATTTGGGAGACACGAAGAACCGTCCCTCAGGAGTACGTTCGGGAGCAAGAGATTGTTCGTTCATTATATCTGCGAGCAATGGAGAGTGTATTTTGACATTGGTGTTGGCGATAATGTTATGTTCAGGAACAATAGGAGACAATGTGTCTTCCGTGATGGTAATAGGTTCGTGTTGACGAGATAATGCGTCTGCTTTGGTGTTTTTAGAACCAGGCCTGTAAGTAAGTATGTAATTGAAATGTGTAAGGAACATAGACCAACGTGCTTGCCTGGCAGATAATCTTTTGGCCTCTCCAATGTAAGATAAATTTTTGTGATCAGTCAAGATGGTAACCGGGAGAACAGTGCCCTCTAACAGATGTCTCCATTCTTTTAATGCCATAATAATAGCTAAGAGTTCTCTGTCACCAATATCATATCTCCTTTCTGTGTGTGATAATTTCTTGGAAAAAAAAACGCATGGGTGTAAAGGTTTATCTAAACTTTGTCTTTGGGACAATACCGCGCCTATCCCTGTTTCAGAAGCATCAACTTCAAGTAAAAAGGGCAGAGAGGTATCAGGATGAACTAGTATGGGTGCTGAAGCAAAAGTCTGTTTGAGCGTTTCGAAAGCAGATAAAGCCTCAGCAGACCACATTTTGGTATTGGCTCCTTGTTTAGTCATATTAGTGATAGGAGCAATAACAGAGGAGTACCCTTTAATGAAGCGTCTGTAATAATTAGAAAATCCAATAAATCTTTGTATGGCTTTGAGTCCCTTGGGTAAAGGCCAATCTAAAATCGATTTTAGTTTAATCGGGTCCATCATAAACCCGTCCTTGGAAATTACGTAGACTAAGAAAGTTATCTGGGATTGATCAAAGCTACATTTCTCCAATTTACAATACAATCCATGTTGTAAAAGTTTCTGTAATACCCTTCTGACTTGTCTGTGATGTGAGTCAAGGTCCCCAGAATGTATTAGTATATCATCCAAATATACTATCACGCATTTGTGTTGAAATTTTCTGAGGACCTCATTAATCAAGTCTTGGAAGACGGCCGGGGCATTGCATAGCCCAAACGGCATTACGGTATACTCATAATGTCCGTAACGGGTATTGAATGCTGTCATCCATTCGTCTCCCTGTTTAATTCTCACCAAGTTATATGCTCCTCTCAGGTCAAGTTTGGTAAAAATACTGGAGCCCTTCAGTCTGTCAAAGAGTTCTGTAATCAAAGGAATGGGGTAAGCATTCCTGATGGTAATCTTGTTCAATCCCCGATAGTCTGTGCAAGGACGTAAGGTACCGTCTTTCTTTTCTACAAAGAAAAAACCCGCCCCCGCCGGAGATGAAGACTTTCTAATAAATCCTTTGTCTAGATTTTCCTTGATGTATTCCTCTAAAACTAAATTTTCTTTGGTAGACAGAGGGTACACCGTACCCCTAGGAGGCATAGTACCAGGCAAAAGTCTAATAGTACAGTCATAAGACCGGTGGGGAAGTAAAGTATCAGCCTTACTCTTGTCAAATACAGACTTGAGATCCAGATACTGAGATGGTATCTGTAAGTCTGTGGATTGAGAAGAGTTGGTAGAGGAGTTTACTGGGCAAACAGAAGTGACTCTCAGCAAACATTTCTCCCTACAACCAGTTCCCCAAGACACGATCTCTCCACATTCCCAGTCAATCTGGGGGTTATGTCTCTTGAGCCAAGAATATCCTAGAACCACTGGGACAGCCGGGGAGGATATTAACAGGAGGGACATCATCTCCTCGTGGAGGATACCGATGGTTAGTTTAACGGGTTTAGTCTCATGGAATATTACTGGTTCAGACAAAGGTCTACCATCTATGGCCTCAACGGCCAAGGGTGTGTCTCTCAGTTGGGATGGGAGACAATGCTTATTAGCGAAGGCTTGGTCTATAAAGCTTTCTGCTGCTCCAGAGTCTAACAAAGCCATCGTAGATATAGCGCCACTTTCCCAAGCTAAAGAGACAGGAATCAGAAGCCTATGGTCTTTATCATTATACATAGAGGACAATATAGAAACACCCAAGGCCCGTCCTCTAGGGGAACTTAGGTGCGAGCGTTTCCCGGGCGATTAGGGCAATTAAGACGTAGGTGACCTCTCCGCCCGCAGTATAAACAGAGGCCCTCCCTTCTTCTGTACTGTCTCTCGGCCTCAGATAGGCGAGTATTACCTATCTGCATAGGTTCTGGTGGAGTAGGATTGTAGGAGTCAGGGTTCTGGAAGGAAGGAGCAAGTCTCATAGGAGGTCAACTAGCTCATTCTTGAGTGTTCTGCCTCTGTCTCATTCGTTCATCTATTCTGGAAATAAAAGACACTAAATCTTCTAAATTTTCTGGAAGTTCTCTTGTGGCAATCTCATCTAGAATCTCATCAGACAACCCATTCAAAAATACATCCATAAAAGCTTGTTCGTTCCATTTCACCTCTGCTGCCAGGGATCTAAACTCTAATGCATATTCTACCAGAGTTCTATTTTGTTGTTTAAGGCGTAACAGAGATCTGGCTGCATTAACCTTCCTTCCTGGGGGGTCAAAAGTCCTTTTGAAAGCTGTGACAAACGCAGTATAGTTGTAGACTAAAGGGTTATCATTCTCCCAAAGGGGATTGGCCCATCTAAGTGCTTTGTCTATTAGCAGTGTTATAATGAACCCTACTTTAGCCCTGTCAGTAGGATAAGCCCGGGGTTGAAGTTCAAAATGTATGCTTATCTGGTTTAAAAAACCTCGACAAGTATCGGGCGAACCCCCATATCGTAACGGGGAAGTGACATGGGAAGATGCGCCTACAGTGGCTACTTCCAAACCAGTACTTAGAGGATGGGTAGCTGTGGGACGTATTTCTTCTGACTGGGTACTGGGACGTGCTAGCAAAGATTGCAACGCTAGAGCCATTTGGTCCATTCTATGGTCCATGGCCTCAAATCTGGGGTCAGGAGGACTAGCACCTGCAGGATCCATATGGCCCTGTCGTAATGTCAGGATCGTGACAGGGATCCAATACGCAGAGTGCGGACAGGAGGAGGTACGTATACCGGACCTTAGAATGGCCGGACTAACGTATAGACAAGACAAGAATGGTCAAAAGGTAAGCCGAGGTCGAGGGAGCCGGAGGACAGGTAAGCGAGGAACAAGCCGGGTCAAAGGAGAGGAGAGAGCAGCAGGACAAAGGTACAAGCAAGGTCAAAACCGAAAAACACAAAGAGAGAGAACGCGCTGAGTGACTAGCAAGCTAGAACCACGACAGGGCAATGAGCAGTAGTAAAAGCTTCCCTTAAATACCCTGTCACCTTAATTATGACCACGCCCCCAAAAGGTCCGGAATTGCGGTTCCCGGCGGTTCACGTGATGATGACGTCATGACGTCGACGATTAGCCGTCGCGTCATAAAAGGGGGAGGAGCTAGCGCGGCCGGCGCGAAAACGGCCGAAAAATGCCGAAATGCTTGGGCATAGGAGCCCTTTTGGAAGAGAGACTGACCTCCTCAGAGGTTGAATTTACAGGTAACCTGACAGTTAACATGCTTACTTCCGCAGCCACAAGTACAAGCCTGGCACCTGGCGGGGGAACTTAAACGCCTTTGTGAGCTTGTAGATAGCGCACACCACACTTTTATTCAGGGATCAAGGTATAAACAGCTGAAACAGTTCATAAACCACATCCCACCAAACCCAACTTGGTTAGGGCACTAATCTTGTTGGAAACCCTAGGCGATGACCTGGACCCACTACCGCATGCGGTATCCTATCTATACTCCTTGCTTCTACAAAATAGAAACCTCCCTCCTCCCGCTCCCGGGAAACTTTTACAGACAAGCAGTGGGGCAAGATGTGTGACCAAGTACATCACTGTGCATTAGCCAGTAAGATGCAGGAGACGGCCTATAAGGTTTTGTCATTACGGTATAGGACCCCACAAGCTCTAAGGTATTTGAATCCAGCCCTGAGAGACAATTGTTGGCGCTGTGGGGCCAGCACTGCAACGTTCCTGCACATTTGGATATGCACCTGCACAATATACACAGCTCTCAGACTTATAGGGACATTTGGACACACTGGCTGACGGTCGTTTACAAAGCTGACTTCCAGAGACTGCTGACGTATGGTCTTCGGACAGGACCCCAGGGGGAAGGTACACTGGAAGGGAGTGCAGATAGGGAGGGTGGTCTTGAGTCACTGGTCTAAGCAGTAAAGAGGTCAAAGCCAAAAAGAGACATGCTGCTTGATTATTATTTAATCTTATGTTTATTGTTTCAGTTTCTGCTCTCTGCCTTTCCATAATGTGAAATCCTGCTGATATATATGCGGTCACAAGCCCCCGCTCTTTGAGAATCTGAGGCCGCCATAGGGTGGAGGCCCCCTGAAAAGTATAAGCAGTTAATCCTTAGTAATGTCAAATCTTGTTATTTTATGAAGCGCGCAGACAAGACATGCCTCAGTTAAGCCTGTGTTATGCTAAATAACTGGAACGCAACTGCAGAAAAACTTTTAAATACTTCAATTTATTTTTTAATTGAATTGCAAAAGTGGATACTGTAGCTTTAAAACCTTAGCAGGTTGTTAGTTGCAGAGAGAAATAAGCCACAGAGGTTTTGCATAAAGCCAAACAGACTTAAATAAGGATAGTGCAGAATTAGTTTGCAGAATCAGAGTTAAATTAAATGTAGCAGAAAGAAGTAGCTTCCTGAGTGCAACAATGAGGCAGGTTATAATTGCAGGTAGAATGAAAGCCAATTTGAGCTGAAGAAAATAAGTACTTAGCTTCTGTGGAAGCAGGTTCAGCAGTATTGTTGAATCCAAAAAAAAGCAGTCCTTAGAAGTAGAAGCAGAGGTCCATTAATCAATCCGAGGTCAAGGAGAGGAGAAGGTAGGTAAGTAGTTTTCAGTCCAGGTACGGTACACAAGTAAAGCTTTAGAGACAATTTGGTAGACGGTCAGAGGTTCTCAGGAACTCGATCAATAATCCAGCAATTTGAATCTGGCGTGGTCTTCCTATGTAGCGTGAGGAGACAGCGTCAGAGAAGGGGGCGGGGCAGAGCTCCGTCAACCCGGAAGTGGCTTGAATTGGCGAAACCGGCAGGTATAACCCGACAGCCTGCAACCTCATAATAACTTCAAAAAGGCAGTATGTTTCCTATGCATCAATAACGTTATAATATATAATATAACGCAACTCACACAGGCCCGTAAAAGACGACAAAGGAAAACACTGGCAATATCTCACTCAATGGCACCTCACTATTTCTTATGTTCTTGTTTATATGGTTATATTGTTTTATTGTGTAACTTATCTGATTATGTGAAAACTGTGACAGATTAGGCACATGTTAGTCATCCATATGAATTGAAATTGAGCATGATGATCATATCGGCTTCTGAGCAAGCCACATGGTGTATGACTGTCTTTTATTATTATGCTCCATGTCACAACATAAATAAAGAATTTAAAAAAAAAGAAAAAAGCTCAAAATGTTACTCTTATGACCTAAAATTTGTCATTCCCGTGTTAATTGCTGGTGTGATGAAAAAATGTATGTGATAATATATAATCTGAAATGTGCAATGCGATGATATGCCTGTTTGCCTGTCTTGAAATATCTTGTCTTTCTATTACTGTTACTCTTGAATAACTATTCCCTCTTCTATCGCTGTTGTATATAACTAATCTCGGAATATCAGATCCTATTATCAAGCTATATGTATAACTGAGTGCTCGCATACGCCTGTTGTTGGGACAAGACCATTCATTGTATACATCTCAGCACTGCAAAAATTAAAATTTACAACAAGAAAAAGCTTTTGTTTCATTTAATAAAATTCATTTTATTTAAAAATTGTTTTGTTCCATAAGTTGTAGGTTTCCCTAACTTGTAGTAGTCCGCCAACCTTATTACTCTAAAAAGTCTGCTTTACATAATGCCACGACTTTACAGGGATTTGTCGCACCGTAGTGGTGCTATTAAATTTCTACAGCAAAAAGCCAAAAACTAAACTACAACACCCCAAATCCTCACTGCCTAAGGGAAAAACTAAGCAGAGCTATAGAAATTTAAAGAAGAACTTAGTACTTATGTTATTAAATCAGTAGATGTCATGTAAGTATAAAACGTATCTCCTCTGCTATGCCACAACGAATGCAGGGACTTCAAAAATGTTCTTTTAATTATTGATTGTTGTTTTTTGCACTTGTTAAAAGCATTAAAAACAAAAGGTGTGGGGGCGGAGCCAGCGCCTGCATGAGCTGGACGCACATCGGAACAGCTCCGTGCACTAAACCTCTCAAACCGACAATTAGCGGATTCAGAACCTGCCACAAAGCCCCAAAAGTACCTGCACATTGCCCAAGTTATGGGGAAGAAAATGAAAAAACTCCGAGCGGACCCGGGATCGGGCTCCCGCAATATCGGCGACTTCCTCCACACGGCACCGTGGGTAGGCACAGCCAAAATGGTGGCGGCTGAGGCCTGCACACCAACATCATCGGATGATGATGCCCTCGCTGACTTCTATCCACCATCCTGGCCACACACAGGGCCACCAACAGCTGATGTGCTGGCACACTCTGCACCAGCAACCAAGTCTGATATCAGGGCATTAATGGTTAAAATGTTCCATGCAGACATGGCCCCGATCCGGGAAGCGGTGGCCAAACTCACTGACAAAGTGAAAGCAGTGGAAGAGAACTTGGAAGGCACCAAACTGTCTCAATCGGCCACTGACGCCGCCATAAGCACCCTACAAAAACAATGCGCTGACCAGCAGGGGCAAATCGCTGCTCTGGAGGACAGAGCTAGAGCCCGCAACCTCAGAATCCGGGGGATACTGGAAACAGTTGCCGGAGTGGAGCTCCCCCACTACTGCCGGAGGCTCATCGCCACACTGCTGCTGCCCAAACAGGCTAAGCAGGCAGCGGTGGACTCCTGTTTTCACCTTCCGAAGGCTCCCAGTGCAGCCCCCGAAGCACCGAAAGACGTGTTGCTGAAATTGTCCAGAGACTCTGACCGCGGAGCAATCATGGCGGCGGTGAGAGACTCAGCAACGGTGTCCTTTGAGGGGGCACAACTGATATTCTACCGGGACTCATCCAGACGTACACTCATCTGGCGGAGAACCCTCAAGCCTGTCACCCAGCTACTGCAAGAGCACGCGATGCCCTACTGTGGTGGAATCTCGGTAAAAATAAATTTAGTAGGCCGAGATTACCACGTGGCATGTGTACGTGCATATGCTGACGTATCGATCAGTTGGTTGCACGAGGCAAGATACGATCAGTAGTGTACGGAGCATGTGCAAGAATACAGGATGTAGTATTCCCCTCCTCCATTGTGCTGGACAAGCCATGCGGTCAAGCAGGAAGTTAATTCTTATTTGTAATGATTGGTCAAGAGAATGTGCGGGTGGAGCTTAATATGGGAGGAGTTATGTGCCTATATAGGGAGCCTGCACTATTGTTCAGGGCTCAGAACTTGCTGTATTTTTGGTGACATTAGTCCCTCTGAGTCCCGATCGGTGATCCAATAAAGAATCTCTTCCTTCCTGAAGAAACCTGTGTCCATCCCTCTGTGCTTTGCTTCCGTCAGTTTCTCCGGTATCATTTGGTGCATTGGCCGGGAAGCTCATCGTTCAACGGTAGCTGAGAGGCAGAGGCGTGAGACGGTCTATCTTTGCCCACGTTCTCTACGGCTGCACCCCTGAACTTCTGCGTGGACCTCCCTTCGTCTCGGCGCCACTGGTCTGTTGTCCAGGAGATCATCGGCCTCTACGTAAG